GCCCCCACCCCTGCGCGGTGGGTGGGGCCCCAATAAAACAATAAGGGGGGGGACCTACTGTCCTCCCCCCTGGCCCCCACCCCTGAGCGGTGGGTGGGGCCCCTAAATCGAAACACCCCCAATCAAGGTGACTAGGGGTCCCAAGCCCCTAGTCACCACCCCCCCCACCCAAAAAAACCTATCCCTACCTACCCCCCTCACCCTAAAAATAGTGAGGGGGGGATAAAATAACTTACCTGTAAAAAAAAAAAAATTAAACTTACCATTTGACGTCTTCTTTTTTCTAAAATCTTCTTTCTTCAGCCCCCAAAAAGGCCAAATAAAAATCCATTATACCCGTCGCACTTTAAAAAAAAAAAAATTAATCCATGATCGCCCTTCTAGGACACGCCGCATACTGAGCTCCGCAGGGCGGGTCAAGGCTTATAAAGCCTTGCCCCGCCCTGCAATTAGGCTTAGAACACTCTGATTGGTGGGTTTAAGCCAATCAGAGTGCTCTGAGTCATTTTACACAGCGTGGGAAAGTTCTTTTGAATTTTCCCAGCTGTGTAAAATGACTCATAACACTCTGATTGGTGGATAACCAATCAGAGTGTTCTTTTGAATTGAAGGGTCCCAAGCCCCTAGTCACCACACCCCCCCCCACCCAAAAAAAACTATCCCCTACCTACCCCCCTCACCCTAAAAATAGTGAGGGGGGGATAAAATAACTAACCTGTAAAAAAAAAAAAATTAAACTTACCATTTGACGTCTTCTTTTTTCTAAAATCTTCTTTCTTCAGCCCCCAAAAAGGCCAAATAAAAATCCATTATACCCGTCGCACTTTTAAAAAAAAAAAACGAGCGCAAAAAAAAATTAATCCATGTTCGCCCTTCGAGGGCACGCCGCATACTGAGCTCCGCAGGGCGGGTCAAGGCTTATAAAGCCTTGCCCTGCCCTGCAATTAGGCTTAGAACACTCTGATTGGTGGGTTTAAGCCAATCAGAGTGCTCTGAGTCATTTTACACAGCATGGGAAAGTTCTTTTGAATTTTCCCACGCTGTGTAAAATGACTCATAACACTCTGATTGGGTGGCTTTCAAGCCACCCAATCAGAGTGCTCTGTGTCATCTTACACAGCGTGGGAAAGTTCTTTTGAATTTTCCCACGCTGTGTAAAATGACTCAGAGCACTCTGATTGGTTATCCACCAGAGTGTTATGAGTCATTTTACACAGCGTGGGAAAATTCAAAAGAACTTTCCCACGGTGTGTAAAATGACTCATAACACTCTGATTGGTTATCCACCAATCAGAGTGTTATGAGTCATTTTACACAGCGTGGAAAAATTCAAAAGAACTTTCCCACGCTGTGTAAAATGACACAGAGCACTCTGATTGGCTTAAACCCACCAATCAGAGTGTTCTAAGCCTAATTGAAGGGCGGGGCAAGGCTTTATAAGCCTTGACCCGCCCTGCGGAGCTCAGTATGCGGCGTGCCCTCGAAGGGCGAACATGGATTTTTTTTTTTTGCGCTCGTTTTTTTTTTTTCTTTTTTTAAAGTGCGACGGGTGTAATGGATTTTATTTGGCCTTTTTGGGGGCTGAAGAAAGAAGATTTTAGAAAAAAGAAGACGTCAAATGGTAAGTTTAATTTTTTTTTTACAGGTTAGTTATTTTCACTATTTTTAGGGTGAGGGAGGTAGGTAGGGGATAGGTTTTTTTTGGGTGGGTGGGGGGGTGACTAGGGGCTTGGGACCCCTAGTCACCTTGATTGGGGGGGGTGTTTCATTTAGGGCCCCCACCCACCGCTCAGGGGTGGGGGCCGGGGGGGAGGACAGTAGGTCCCCCCCCCTTATTGTTTTATTAGGGCCCACACCCACCGCTCAGGGGTGGGGGCCGGGGGGGGAGGACAGTAGGTCCCCCCCCTTATTGTTTTACTAGGGCCCCCACCCACCGCGCAGGGGTGGGGGCCGGGGGGGAGGACAGTAGGTTCCCCCCCTTATTGTTTTACTGGGGCCCCCACCCACCGCTCAGGGGTGGGGGCCGGGGGGGAGGACAGTAGGTTCCCCCCCCTTATTGTTTTACTGGGGGGAAATGAAGCACACTTTGCTCCTCCACTGGTCAGAGCTGGTCAAGCGGAGGAATCCTCCATAAGGCAAAGAGTCCCTTCTTTGTCTTATGATTTTAAAGAAAACTAAAGAAGACAGGAAGAAAAGAAGAACAGATCCTGAGAGAGGGGGAGAAGAGGAAGAGATTGAGGAAAGTTAAGTTCGGCATGACAGTGCCGCTTTAACTAATATTTGATTATTTTAATCTTTGTTATAAGCGTATTTTCACTGGGATTTTATTGTGTATTTTTTAGACTGTTTCTGCTTTAACTTATTGGATTTTACAACCTTTTAAGGTCTGAACATTAGCTTCTGGTTATTCCACTAACATTTGGTAGTGGTAGTAGACTTTTGCATTGAATGAATAGGGATTGGTTAACTTTATATCCCGTTTTGAACTAATCAGTACCCATTCACCTACTTCCTTCTCACAGAGGTCACATGCCAATCATGATAATTTGTGAGTTATTCCATGCTTATACATACATTACTGTGAGTACTATTGCTCTGGAGCTCTGGTATACACTTGTGCACACCAACAATATGGAGCTCTTAGAAAAGGGGAGCGTTAGCATAGAAAAGAGGGACAGAGGGATTCAGGCCCAAAATAGGGGCTGTCACTCCTAATTAAGGACATTTGGAAGGTATGTTTGGCATAACAGAATTGACCTATCAAATATCCATTGGCTGTAGATGTTCTAATGCTTGCTTTCGGAGTATTGCTTTAATTGTATCCAGATTTATTTCAGTACTAGAACATAATAAAAAGGCGTTGTGCTTTGCAGAGTCTAACTGCAGATTAACTATAACTGCATATTGTGTTCTTCATGACAGTTCGAGAAAAAATGGCATGGATAAAGTGATTTAGGTGATCTCTCTGGGTCTTTTGATTTGCGATTTGCAAATATATTCTACGTTGCTTTCAATTAGCCAAATTAGGAAAAATGTTCTTTCTTAATTTTGCTCTTTCAGCTGTTTAGTAGCCATCTCCTTAATTTAGTTTATGTGGGATTACCATTTTAAAGGATAACAATTTAGGGGGCTATCTACTAAACATAACAGCCCCCTAATTTGGGTACCTTACGCAGGCTTAAAATTTTTAAAGGGGCGCTCTACTGCCGAAATGAAAACAAATAAAATGAAAATAACTGTTTTGTAGATATATCCCAATAATAAGATGCACACATTTAATTAAGCCAAAAAATACAATACATGTGGAATTCAGCTGATATACCTAAAAAAACAATAAATAAAAAAAGAACATAGCATAATATAGTTTGTGGAAATATAATATTCCCTGCTAAAGGTTGCACTCACAAGAATGGGAAGTAATATGCGCTCTAATGGTGCCTCCTCCGATGTCTTGGGGGGCTAATATCTCCCTCTTAGGATCAGGTATTACCAAGTATCAGGAACCATGCAGGACTCCGACCGGTAGATTTCCAAAGTTGAAAAGAGGTCTATTGGTAATTTATAAAAAAGCAATAAAAAGGAAATCTGGTCTTACATGTTTCGTCCCACTTATGGGACTTCCTCAGAGACCAATATTCTGTAAAACAATTATGACAATAATGCTCCCAAAAAGCAGCATTTAATCAAGCAGTTTCTTTTTTATTTGAGGTTTTATCTAAAAACTTCTTGCACAAGCTGCAGAAGTCTTGTCATATTCTTTTTAATTTTACCAGTGTAAGTTTAGTGCTTATTGTCTTGAACATAAATAGTGACACATTTTAGGGTTGGTAACAAAGTGGTTAAACTAATAAATTCAAACAGACATTCATTCATACTTCATTAATACCATGAGTCCTTGGGAGAGAAGAAGATTAAAGATTTCCATTTATCTAAGCTTAATGGTCAGAGGGAAAGTTAAGTGACATTATTATCTTAGTTGCATAAAAAAATATGTATTATTAAATTTTTTTGAGATTTATTGCAAAATGGAAAATCTATGTTCCATATGATCATATTAGAGGGGACTTTATTGATATAAAAAAATTTCTGTAAACAAAGTTTCATTTGAAATTTAATATTATCTAATTTGATACAGTCATACCAAATATGTGGCAGGCTTTCTTTTTCTAAATAACATCTCCCACATAATTCCGAGTTATTTCTTGAAATTGTATTGTCTTGTGGGAACTAAGTATCACATCTAAATATGTTTATAGTGCAGTTCCACCATAGAGATGCTGAGAATATTCCAAGGCACACATTTAATGCCTTTCAACCAATCCTCTATTGGGAATTCAACATCTATTTCTTGTTCTTATTTACGTATATGTAAAGAGCTATGCCCTTCACGGTTAATACTTTGATAACTAGGGTTGGATAAGTTTAGCATTTTAGATAACATTTTCCTTCTCTAAGAAACGGAGAAACGTAGTAAGTCATTCATCCAATGCATAAAAATACAAAGAAAGTATACAAATAAGAGTGGAGCAGTAGGTGATAAAGCCAAGACCAAGTACAAATTGTGAAGAAATTGAGAATATTGTAGTAATACTCAATGGTCAGTAGATGGCCCCAAATTGACACATCTCACAGCACATGTAAAGAAAATGCATAAATACCCATAGTAGAGCAGATTGCTTTAAATGAGAAATGCCTTCAACATTATCATTAATGTGCCAAAATTCCCATAAAATTCCCCAAATAATTAGGTTAAGGAAATCAGGTATCTGTCATATAATGATAAGGCTCTGTTATAAACAAAGTGCAAACAAATGTATTATAAACTCAGTGATAGTAAAAAATAAACAGACTGTCCCTTACAAGAGAACATGGTGAGTAGGCTCGGCATACACCGTTACTCACTGCCAAGCTTTGCAATGTATCTGGTTGTGGAGTTGGAGACACTGGCTCTGGATAGCTGTAACATCTGGAATACAGTGAACTGACTTCAGTGCAGCCCGAGCGATATGAGTGTGGTACTAACGAACTCCTGTTGTCTCTGCCCCCTTTGATGACGTCAACGCGTTTCTCCTCAGGACGTGATGCTGTCCTCACCATCTTCAAACAGGGTATTTAAAGGTCTGAAGGAAGGTAGTTCTTATTCCTAATAGATGCATCAATTAAACTTTATTCGCATACTCCCATATGTTCATTATTAATCTCAGACGGCAGGAAAAGAGTCCTCATTTGAGAGAGTCTTTGTATTTAACAGCAATAATATTTTGGTATTTAAAATAGACATCATTGCAAATTAGGGATCTTGATGAAGAATGTATGTCCAATACTTCAAAATTAGACATGAAAAATATGTACATACACAATAGCATTTAAAAGTAACATATACATACATGGTGACATTTAATAGCTATTGTGGGAAAAAAGAAGAATAAAATATACATTAAAATGCATATTTTGATTGCACTGAGTTACTTAAAAAAAGATATATATATATTATTATTTTTATTTTTTATTTATTTTTTTATTCAAAAAATAAAAAAAACGTATCCCAATAAATTAAATAGGTGCATATCCAAAAACGTGACTTGTGTTTTCATTGTCAGGAATAAAGTAGATATTAACAGGGAAAAGCAAAGAAATTACATGTATATAATTTATCCACAGATTCGTATTGGAATTAGCGGAAAATAAGGTGGGTGGGGAGGACTGGCAGAGTGGATAGATGATTAAAAATATACAAAAACCACTATGAATTTAAAATTCAAAAAATTGGCTCCTTGTTAACAATAAAAGATTCTGTTTAAAGTTAATAAAAAAAAACATTAATTTATATAAAATATTTTAAAAAAATGGCAAATTTCAAAATCATTATTCAAGCCATTCAGAACTATGGTGTTCCATAGATCCACTTTATTTTTGACTGGCCTGGTTTTTGATTAAAATCTCTCCCCACCCCCACCCCCTCCAATCTCCCCTTATTTTTTGAATTCCCATAAATTCCAACTTAGTTGAGTCTGCATCATGGTAGTCTCTAAAGTGCATAGACACTTGGTGTACTGCAAAGTTTATTTTAATGTTATACACAGGTTCAAAGAATCTCCTGTGTAACATTCTCGTTGTGCGACCTATATAGTTAAGTCCATACGGGCATGTGAGCATTGCAGTAACTGAAAGTCATACCATCTCTAATGTCATATGAATAGCCATTAGCTTCAAATTTGTTATAACATATTTTCTTTCCACCAGTTTTTGAGCAGGTGTTACAATTACCATACGTAAAAATACCTCTGCTTAATATATCAAATATTTGTTGAAGTTGATGGAAGGGCATTATTTTCCCATCTTGCAGAACATTTTTAAATTCCTCTTATTTTCTACGATGTTAGATTGAAATCTAATAAATCATATGAAACTATTTCAATTGGAGCTTCCTGTGGTATTTTATTAAAATGAGATATCTTCTTTTTTTTTTTTTGATCGAGTAGATTTCATATATTTAATAATTGGATTACTCAGAGAGAATTAGTGCTGAACACTGATAAATTAGACCAAAAAAATTAGATATTGCACAAGGACTCATATCCATTTTTTCAAAATAAAACCAATCAAATGCACTAACATTTGCTTTTTGGCATAAGGTGAAGTGGGTTAGCAAAGCAGCTTCATGTAAATGGTTTGGATTCTGCTACTACCAGTATGCTGATGACACCCAGATATATCTCTCCTCCCCTGACCTCTCCCCTGCTGCCCTACAACATGTCACCAATTGCCTTTCTTTCATTTCTTACTGGATGTCCTCCCACTTTCTGAAACGCAATCTCTCTAAAACTGACCTCCTTGTCTTCTCTCCTTCTAATACTCTTCTTTCGCTCTCCTTTGAAGTTAGTGATACACACATTAGCCAATCCTTGCAAGTGCGCTGTCTAGGCATTATACTTAATTCCGGCCTCACCTTTGAGCCTCACATCCAGTCTGTCACCAAATTCTGTCGATTCCACCTTAAAACCATTGCCAGCATCCGCCCCTTCTTACACAAGATACTACTAAGGAGCTTGTCCATGCTCTAGTAATCTCTCGCATGGATTATTGTAACCCTCTCCTAAATGGTCTTCCCAGAAGCCACGCTACAGTCTGTAATGAATGCTGCTGCCAGATTGATTTTCTTCTCCACTCAATCCTCTCACACCTCACCCCTCTGTCAGTCCTTACATTGGCTTCCTGTATCCTATATGAGTCAATTCAAAGTACTAATCCATACCTATAAAACACTAAACAATTCTAGCCCCTCTTTGCTAATCACTAGAAAGCTGCCGCAGACCCTGAAATGGGGAAAAACAATAAAGCTACGGGTAACACCAAACCCTCGGGGACCCACCAAGATATGATGTCCGCCTCGATGAGGTGGTACCTGACTTCTCAGACAGATCTAGCTTCCCAAGAGGCGTCTAAGGCCTACATATTCTCAGAGCCCTCCACACCGCATCGCCAGGCCTAGAGGAACCCCCTCAATCACCACAGCTGGACTAGATGAGCCTCCACCCAGGAGGATCTGATGTAAACCACTAAGGCGTTACGTACCTCAATTGGGAACAATATTCAGCTCTTGCGAGCAGACTTACAGGGGCTCTCTGACCGCGTGGCGCACGTGGTGGCTGACCATGACAACCTAATGGCAGCCCAGATGGCCACTACATCAACCCTTGAACTCCAGATGTCTGAACTACGACATATGGCACTCCACATCGAAGACCTCGACAACAGAGATAGGCGCCAAAATCTCCACATGAGGGGATACATGAACAGAAGATACCCCTATAGACTTTGTACAAGAACACCAGCCACTAAGACCCAGAGGGCCACCAGACACTCCACTGAGAGACATGATCAGCTGCCTTGCCCATTTTGCCCTCAAAGAGGACATTATACAGGCAGCCCGAAATGCGCACAAGATCAGACACGAAGGCCATGGCCTATAAATCTTCCCTGACCTGTGCCAGGCTAGTCTGGGATTTAAACAAGCCCTCAAGCCTCTTACACCTGTATTAGTTGCGCAGAAAGTCCGATACCGCTGGATCTTCCCAACAGGCCTGTCACTTGCTATGCCAGAAGGGCCACGTCAGGTCAACGCGATATGATGGCTATTTCGGACCTCATTCAGTTGCCACCCATCAACATACGATGGCATGACCCACTGAACTTTTACCGCCCGATACCTGAACCTCCGGAGCAGGCTTTATCACAACAGTGGAACAGAACCCGGATGGAGTCCACACAGCCTGCTGGGGCACTACATTAATCAACAGGCAAAGCCCGGGAACCGGAGACACCCTGACAACTCCCGACAGGCCACAACAATATGCAAACTGTTCAACACCCGGACAGACATCAGAGTCGGACGAACTCTGTCCCCTGATAACAGGAGCCCACTTTACGACTAGGACATGCTGATGGACAATCTCAAAGGAGCCAATGGACATATCTTGTGGTACCACATATACAAATTGCAGTAAGGACTATTACAGATCATACCCTGGACACCTTCACACATCACACACACATGCTGTCACGGGGGAGGGGAGAGGAGGAGGGTGGACTACCGGGTGTCACTTGTCTTGTACAGTGGTGTGAGAGTGATTTCCACCACAGGAGGGCTCAACAACCCAGTAACTGGCTCGCTCTCTAGCCCTTGACCCCTGCATTTGGGGAGCACTGTACTCTGTATATAGTTGATAAACTGTTATTGTTAAAGGGCGCTCGGCCATGCTCCTTACTTGACATGAGGAGCACACAGCTGGCCAACACTCTCCTCTCCCCTACACAGACCTACTTCTGGACAGTGGCACCTCAATGAGGTACCCCTGTCAGACCCATTGGTGACAACTGACTTTCGCCAACACCTTAATCACTACTTTCGGGAAAACAAGACCCCAGAAATTTCACCAATGGTACTGTGGGAGGCCCACAAACCTGTCATGAGGGGACACTTCATTGCGAGGGGGACGACAATGAAAAAGGAGAGAGCAGCACACTTCACGACCTTACTACAGGAGATCCAGACCCTAGAGGAGAGACACAAACAAACACAACTCCCAGCAGATGGGACCAACCTGACAACCATGAGATGAGAGCTCACCATATTAAACGTCTCCTACCAAAGGAAATACCTCCAAACGAAAGCATTCTTCCACACAAACGCAGACAAATGCGGGGCCTTACTGGCTCGCATGATCACCAAAAAGAGAGCGTCCACCTATATCCCTAAGATATGGAGGGCCGACAATAAGCTGACATATCTTCTACCCGACATAGCCAAGACAATACGTGACTACTACGCACAACTATACTTCCTCCCCCGGCACACGCCGAAACAGGAGGGCAACACACAAGAGGTCAACCTGATGACTTACCTAGAATGCCACATTCACAAATGTCTCACTAGAGAGGAAGCGCAGGAACTAGACAAACCCTCACCAGGAATTAACAGGAGCACTTAAGGTGACAAAACTGGGCAAAAGCCTGGGCCTGGACGGGCTCCACACACGCAACTATAAGCAATTTACGGATCTGCTTCTCCCCCAACTCCTCAGGGCCTATAACTCCATTCAAGATAACCACAAGATACCCATGGACGCGCTGGTGGCCAACATCTACCTGATCCCTAAAGAGGGCAAGGACACAGAGCAGTGTGCCAATTACAAGCCAATATCCTTACTATATTGTGACCTCAAATTGTTCACTAAAATTCTGTCTACATGCCTTCAACGATTCCTTCCCGACCTGGTCCACTTGGATCAGATAGGGTTTATCCCTAAACACGAGGCACGGGACAACATGATTCGAACACTGTCCCTTATCCACTATGTGCAACAAAAGTCGTCGGGCCTTCTCCTGCTCTCCACGGATGCAGAGAAGGCCTTTGACAGAGTCAACTGGTATTACTTTTTTGCGGTTTTGTGGTTCTTGGGGATGGGCCAGTACATGTAGGGCTGGATAAAGGAGGCCCTCTACACGACCCCAACGGCTAGAATATGCATAAATCGGGCACTCACGGAACCATTCCCGATTCTAAATGGCACGAGACAGGGATGTCCCCTCTTACCGCTGATCTTCGTCCTTGCCTTCGAACCCCTCCTGAATGCAGTACGACACAACCCACAGATACATGGGCACCAGGTGGGAGGGGACAAACATTCAGTGGCGGCACATGCCAATGAATTACTGTTCTTTGTGACAAAACACAAAATATCCCTGCCCATGATCATGACGAAATTCAAAACATACAGCAACATCTCACACCTTAAAATAAACTACACAAAATCCACCATACTGAACATCTCCTTACCCCACAAAATAGAGAGAGGGCTGCGCAAAATTCACTCCTTCACATGGGTGTTGTCATCACTGAAATACTTAGGGGTCTGGATAACGAAAGACTTAACACACCTAAACAAAGTAAACTTCCATCCCATACTGAACAAACTGGTCCAGACCAGGCATCTCCTGGTTCAGCAAGATGACACTCCTACTGCAACTACTCTATCTTTTTCAGATGCTACCCATCACCATCCCTGATGCTTTCTTCACCTCCCTTCGCACACTGGTACTACGATTCACCTGGTGCAAAACCAAAGACAGGATTAGCCATGACACCCTCACTGCCCGAAAGTGGAAGGCGGACTAGCCCTGCCAAACTTTAGACAATATTAATTGGCGACACAAATCCACAGAATAACTGAATGGGTCAAACAGGGAGTCTCCAAACTCTGGAAGACGGTAGAAACAGCGCTAGTGGAACAACCGGTAGAAATCCTACAGTATTTGGACATGCTCCACTGCTCTAGAATAGCTGCCACACCCACTAATCAAAGCCACAACGCATATATGGCACCAACTGGCGACCAAACTGGAGCTTACTTCCTACCCATCTCCACTAAACCAAATAGTCCACAACACAGCATTAACCCCAGGACTAGAACCATGAGTGTTTCAAACGCTGTTGGGACACAGCCTCCCCCAACTACAACATGCGACACGAGACGGCGGCATCAAGCTATTGACAGATCTCCCAAACCCCACCATACTGACTTTCATGCACCACTTCAGATATAGACAGCTTACACAATTTATCAACTCCATACCGCAGACGCATATGGTCTTGAGAGAATTCACAGACTTTGAGGCCATATGTGTAGATCATGAGCCCATGGAAAGGGGACTGTCTTTCCTCTACCAATTCCTCATGCAACACAGGAGACTACCCGCCCGATTTACATGGGGAAATGGGAGACCGCCATGGACATCACACTCACACCCACACAATGGTCCAAAATCTGCACCCTGACCCTACACTGTGCACCATCCAGTGGGATGCAAGAAACAGCATATAAGTTGCTAGCTCACTGGTACACACTATAGACCCCGCAGTCACTGACTGCTGCTGGAGATTCAAACGGGCCACAGGCTCACTACTACACATCTGGTGGGACTGCCACCTGATAAAACCATACTGGACCCCAATCCACAAAATATTGCAGAAATTCTCAAATGACCCCCCACCCCTGCAACCAACAGCACTACTCTTACACCACACCAAACTCCGCACATCGATCTACAAGAAATCACTCACTATCAGTATTCTTAATGTAGCAAAAGGTCTGACCCCCATCAGCTGGAGGCAGGAGAGGCCACCCCCGATTGCCGCCTGGTTCAAACGCATGGAAGAGCTACGCACAATGTAGGAGCTCACCAAGTTAGCTGAGTGTAAGTCCCAGACATGCATGGCAATCTGGACTCAATGGATCCTCACAGTGGCCTCAGAAGACTTCTGCACCCTGTGGCAATGACTCCCACATCATTAGGTTATATTATATTCAAGCTTCATTTCAAGGTCTTTAACCCCTTAGGGATGCAGGCAATTGTCCACGTTCTCAACCAAAACAAAGCTTTGAATCTGAACTATAGGTTTGTTCCACCGTAATTTAAGGGTTGCTCTTCAAGTACCCCCATACATATTATTATCATAGGAGGAACTACCACCAGTGCTGGTGCGGCTGGGTACAGTTGGTCCCATACACTTATAGCTATCCTGGTAGGCAAGTAGCATGAGGCTGCGGCTCTTTGGCAGTGTGACCGGGCTCCTTTAATATTTACAGACAGTGCTGGGAGGAATTAATTACCCTTTACTTCCTCTCAGCTTGCATGGTCTGTAAGCTTCGAGGAAGTGACAAGTAATTAATTCCTCCCAGGACAGACGAGGTGCTCAATGGGGAGAAGGGAGCACTGTAGACTGAGAGCCTGCACAGCAGCAGACTCCCATCAGCATTAGCCAGCTCAGGGAAGCCACCCCCTGCACCCAAATGGTATGGAAGTAGGGGATGGTTAACAATATATAAATTGTGACTTATGTGTGTGTATCTGTTTGTTTGCCAGTGTGTGTATTTGTAGGTATGTGTGTGTATCATTGTGTGTCAGTGTGCGTTTTTAGTTATGGGTGTGTATCTGTGCATATCAGTGTGTGTATATGTGTGTGCCAGTGTATTTGTATGTGTGTGTATCTGTGTATGTACCAGTGTGTGTGTAGGTATATGTTTGTATCTGTGTATGTCAGGGTGTGTAGTTGTGTATGTGTGACAGTGTTTGTGTATATGTCTGTGTAGGTATATGTTTGTAACTGTACCAATGTGTGTATGTACATGTAGGTATGTGTGTATATCTATGTGCTTGCCCGTGTGTGTATGTGTAGATATATGTTTGTATCTGCTTGTGTGCCAGTGTACCCCTGGATTCAAACACCAAAAACTAGACACAAATACACCCCTGATTTCAAACTCCAACACTAGATACAAACACACCCCTTACACTGCTCAGCCACAATGTTTGTGGGGTGCAGTCAACTAGAAAATACTAACATTTCAAGTGGAAAATATGAGAGGGATGCAGTAATGCAAATTAAAGCATTGGGAGGGGGCTATGTGGAAGAAGATGAGTATAAGAAAGAGGAGCATCAAAGCTGTCAAAGGACATATCTGTCTAATGTATTCTGGACATTTTAGTACAATCTCTGGAATCAGAAAGTTGAATTTAAAACATCACTCATAGCATATCCCTTTCTGTCCAAACTGGTTTCTTTCAAACATATTCTGCTTTAATCCTTTCAGTTTGTTTCTTTACTTTAAAAAAATTATCTTAAAATAAGGACCGGCTTTACATGGCAGGTACATGTAGGAACACAATTCTAAAGTGCCCCCTGCTCCCAAACCCAAAAATAAGGCAGATAAAGTAAGTGTAATTAATGTATTAAGTTGACATTGCTAGCCTAAAAACTTCTAAATTACTCATAATCTTATTTGACAACTATATATGTATAAATCTATGTATGTGCATATTTTTGCTCTGCTCGTAATGTATCTGTGTTTGCATCTGAGTACAATGAGTGTATGCAGCTGTATAAATGCATTAAAGGTTAACAGTGTTAGAAGTGGTTAGGGTATAGGTGGGTTTAAGGTTAGAGAGGGGTTAATGTCAGTGCTAGATTACATATGCTGGTTAGTGTTAAGAAGATTAATAGCTTGAGAGGGTTTACAGTTGTAGTTTAAGGGCTAGTTATAAATAGTGGGTTTATGGTTACTTGAGTTAAATGTATTATTGCAACACAGGATAAACAAATTTTTTTTAAGAAGAGTTGAACATCAGATTAAGGTAAGGGGTTTATTGTTGGGCTTAAGCTTTGAGTGCTGGAGTTTGAAGGCTCATTTGCAAAGTACTCACCCTCCTGTGGAGTAATAAGAGAAAAATTTCACCCTCCTGTGGAGTAATAAGAGAAAAATTTTATTACATTTGGAAGGGAATATTTACCTAAGTTACTAGAAAACTGCTTACAGTTTATTTTGCTATGTAGAAGGATTGTACTGCAGTTTGGGTAGATTGGACAGAAGAACCTGTTCTCCTGAATGCTCATTCAATGGACCCAGTGGCATTCTAGAATTGTGCCCTGAATGCATAGGCTGAAAGGTAATGAAGGGAAGCTGAAGGAGTTGCAACGAATTCCATGTTAGCAGTAAGTGACAAAGTATGTTCCACTAATGCCATTTGCAGCAGTCAGTCACAGAGGAGAGCCTGCCACCATCATACTGGCCCTGCCATCTGACCTTAACAGGGCATGACTGAACTCATCTGCTGCAAGAGATCTATGAAGGCAGTAAACATTTTACTGCACTCTAGTACCCCTGAGTCTCATTATTGGAGGAGCACTTTTTTTCATTACCAAAATTAAAAAAAAATAAAATTATATAATTAATAATGCTTTACTTTGGGTAAAACATTAGTAAAACATTTCTTTCTGACAGTATCGCTTTTGCATCACAGTTGCAGAATCTATACAGACAGGCAGCATACTGTTATATTATATTAAAGGGGTCAACACCCCTTCAGTCACATACCTAAATCCAGTGCTGATGTCCCTTGGTGCTGGGTCAGGCTTCGCCCACGCTCCTCCCCTGCCAATGTCAGCCATAAATGGCCACGCTCGCATTAGGATTTCCCCATGGGGAAAAAATCTGATGCTGTATGTCCTCATGCAGAGCGTGAGGACGTCCAGCGTCAGACAACGTACCGAAGGTCAATTTCGATTCTGGAAACCCTCTAGTGGCTGTCTGCTAAACAGTCACTAAGGGCAGACTTAGAGCTGCAATGTAAACATTGCAATTCTCTGAAAATGCAATGTTTTACATTGCAGCAGTAAGTGCAAAAGAGACACAGCACCCAAACCCCTTCAATGAGCTGAAGTGGTCTGGTGGTGCCTACAGTGTCCCTTTAATGAACACATACACGCTACACAAATATACTCCTGCATTCATGCATTTAGATACAACACAACAAATTCTACTGTATTCATGCACACAAACACATCACAACATATACCTCTGCATTCAAGCACAGAGACACATCACACATATATACTCCGGCATTCATGGACAAATACATATTACACAAATATATCCCTGCATTCATGCACACTGATAAACAATACACCTCAATATTTACACATACAGGAGTATAATACAATTCTGCATTCATGCACAGAGACACACGATAGACATCCATTCAATTTCACACATTCTACACTCTGCACTGAGATTGTGAATTGAAACAAAAAAATAATAACTGATATTAGATCTTATTTTAAACACTAATAATTACATTAATTATCCTATGTAAAAAAATACACGCAAATATGAATGAATGATTTCTGTTCACAGACCCACCTATAACTTCATTCTCACTCCCCACCTTGTTTCAATCCATTTTATTTCCAGCACTTCTATTCTTCTCAGCCCCACTCACTTTCCTCGTTGACCCAGCCTTTTTTAGTTCCTTACCTTCTCAGAACCTATTTTTTTTCCTTTTCAGACCTCTTCCTTTCCTTGCCAAATACAATCTGCCTCTGTATCACTCTCCATGTGCAACTTCCCTCCTTCCTTCAGTCTGTCTGGATGTCTGACCTTAGGGAAGGAGGAGCCAGCCAGGCAAACTATTTGGGGGTCTTCAATATCTTGTAAAATGTGTAAACCTACCTCTAACTTGAGCCAATCATTTCAAAACGAAAGCCTTTCTAAATCAGTTTAAATGAGTCACAGAGCACTCTAAATTACCATTAGCCCTGACATGATGAAATGTTAAATAGATTACAAATTAGTAGAATGAATAAATCGAATAATAAATACATTTCTTGGGCTGTAGGATGAAAACTAAATAATAAAACTGAGGGTTCGGAGGACTCCTTATTGGTTGAGGTATCTGCTTTGTTGTTCCATATAATGCCAACCAAGAAGGATCATGGTCTAGCACAACATTGCTATGGACATGGGGCATGCCCATGGATGCAATTTATATAATGAGTTCTATTGCCTTGGCACATCTGTGAATATATGTGGGCATGTGTAGTGTCTTTCTTAGTATGCAAAATAAATTGATGTAATTGACTTATTGTCATCATATGAACACATTCTATGTAAATTAATGAAAAACAGAATTTTACTGAGTAAGAAGGCAAAAGGGTTTTAAGTACACACTGCAATATTTATTTAAGAGTGAGTTGTGGTAAGGTGATAATCAATTTTCAACATCTAGGCTGAGATATCCATATTGCAAGTACATATCTATATTTGTAAATGATATTAAATAATAAAAAATGTATCAACATTCTGATTTAAATACTTTTTCTTTGCACATGTAATTTACATATCACCCCACTAGAGGATGGTGTCACTTTTTTTAAAACTAATTTTCCAACTTCCAACTGTTTCAGTAAAAAAAATAACTTGCATCAATGCATGCATACAAAAGACAATATTGTAAATAAGAACGCCCTTTTAAATATGAAACTATTATAGAGACAGAGATAGACAGATAGATAGATAGATAGATAGATATACAGACAGACAGACAGATATATATATATAGAGAGAGAGACAGACAGATAGATAGATAGATAGATAGATAGATAGATAGATACACATACCATGACAGACAGACACACACACACATACAATGACAGATAGACAGACACACACTCATACCATGACAAACAAACACACATACATACCATGACATACAAACAGATACACACACACATACCATGACAGACAGAATGACACACACACACACACACACACCATGACAGACACACACACACCATTACACAGACAGACGCACACATACACACCACACTCACTTATCCCAAGCGCCAAGGCATAGGATTTCTCAAGCCCTGATATAGATAATAGATAGACACACACACACATACCATGACAGACAGACACACACATACAATGACAGACAGACACACACTCATACCATGACAAACACACACACATACCATGACAGACAGATAGACACACACACACCATGACAGATACACACACACCATGACACAGACAGACACACACACACACCACACTCACTTATCCCAAGCGCCAAGGCATAGGATTTCTCAAGCCCTGATATAGATGATAGATAGATAGATAGATAGATAGATAGATAGATAGATAGATAGATAGATAGATAGATAGGTAGATAGTGAGAGAGAGAGTAGAAATATATTTATTTTAAATTGACTACATTGGGCTTACAATTTCAACAAGGATATGTTGTCTGTTGTATTCTGGCCACATTTTCAATAACATTCAAGATATATTTTGGCCCAGAAACTCCTACTTATCTATTTCATAAGTAAAATAATGTTTAATCTGATAGATATACTTATTAAATCTAATGTTAAATGAAAAAAAGGAAAATTTAAAATACACCCATTATTTTTTAGTTAAGGGAAGCCTAGAAATGAGGACAAAACTACTACGATTTTAAAAAGAATTTAAAATATGTAAGTGTAATAAAGTTTACAATATAGGTGAAAACAATACATGCATTGTTAAAAATGTTGTTATAACTACTGAATACATTGTTAAAACTTGTAAAGTGAAAAATCACATGTGAAATCAATTAAATGGATAACCCAAGCACTACACACTTATTGTGTAGGTAGCAATGTAACAGGCACACTTCCCTATCGTGTCTTCCTGCATATATTGTCCTAATATTAATTATTAAAATACAAATATTGTTTTTGAAGCTTATATAAAAATAAAAAAATAATAGAAAACAAGTTTAAAAAATGTTTCAAGCCTAGACATGTCTGATATTTCATGACAACATTTTATTGTTTTTCACCTTTGTGTCCAAAACACATAAATCGACTACAAATCTTTTTTAAAACCAATGTTAGAACACAAATGTTTCACTTGTTTATATATGTTGTTCTATAACCCAAAAACCATGCAGATTATCTTGAGAAGTTTGACCTCATTTCCATGTATATCTCTATTGCCTGTGTCTATATTATGTCATTATTCAGATGTATAAACAACAGTGCACTTTAAAAATAAAATTAAAACATTTACAAAAGTAGCTGAATAAAATATATTTTCTTACAGTACATTCTTACTTCCCTAAGTAAACTATCAAGAGAAACAATATAAGAATAACATATACCTGTCCGGTGATGTCTTCATTTACTGTCAATTAAAGAAAAATAAATAAAAAATATCAAATAAATATTTATTTTTATTATTTCATACATTAATATTGTTTGTTGCAAATATAAATATTTATAAAATAAAATCTAACAAGAATATATAAAATCATAAAGATTTGTATTATTACTAGCATGTTGTCTTTAATTGTATACAAGATTTTTATTTTATGAAATGATAATTTTTGGGGAGTTGGGGGGAGGGGGTGACAGAGCTGCTTTAAGTGAATTGTTCAGCAAAATACCAATGTAACGGGGCGTGACCAACTATGAGACTTACCAGGTGTGTTCCAGAGAAGCTCTGAACAGACACCGCAATTAAAAAGGCTTTCCTTTAGCTAAACTACCCCAAGGAGACACCATCAGATGACAATATGGGCCACAAGAACAGAAGATTTTGGGTGCCTGAAAGCCCGAGTTTACCGGACATCAGGCTTTCCTTTGTGAGGCCTGCACCACGAGAGGCTCCCAAGATGGCGCCCGCAGCACAACTTCTTTCTAATGGATATTTTATTTCTGTTTTTTTACACTTGGAGTGGTCTGGGTGCCAACTCCAACTACCATGCACATGCGCAATAGGTCTCCCCCGCCGGATGATGCCGGCGGGGGAGGAGCGTGGGTGGACCCTGAACGCTGAGGGACATCGGCGCTGGATACAGGTAAGTCACTGAAGGGGTTTTAACCCCTTCAGCAACTTGGGATGGGGGTGGCAGGGAGAGGGGACCTGCAGTACCAGGAAAACTGATTGTTTTCCTGGCACTGGAGTGTCCCTTTAAGAATTTCAGAACTAATTTATATTCAAAGAATATTATTATTAAAGTAACCCCATTTGATTACAGGATCATGTTAATGATTAAAATCTCCTTAAAAGTTTAGTACAAGCACCAGGTCCACTTCAGTGGAGTCTATATGTGCAGTTTTCCCCATGAAATGCTGCACACACAGAGAGATAGTCTTTTCCTCCCAGGGGTGTAACACCATCTCCAGCAGCATTGCTAGAGTGTCATTAGCCAGCCTGGAACATTTTTTGTAACATATTGAATGTCTTTCATCAGCACGCTGATGAAAGAGAGACTACCGATAACAGGATGGCTGTCCCTCAGTGTTGACCTTCAGCCCATTCTCTGTTACATACCTCCCCCTCCAGCAAAGGGGAGTGAATCACTGGAGGAGGATTTGGCTGCTAATAGACCTTGGCCCCGGCAATGAAATGTAGGTAAGTCATTGCTTTTATAATTTTTTTTTTCCACGTTTCCACTTTTTGTTTACGGCAGGAGTAGAAAAATAAGGGTTACTCCCATTACTTTTATTAAAACAGCTTTTTTTGTTTGGAGTAATCCTTTAGGTAATGACCAAAAAATTTAGAGATAAATTACATAATTCAGTGACTTTTTTAATTGTTAGCCCCTCCCCAACTGTTACACTGCAATCATGTGGGGTTTGTGGGTCTTTAAGTAATGTAATAACTACCAGTTGTTCCCTATTACCTCCCTCACCCCTTCTACTCAATTATCCCCTGGTTGGAATCGTTCACGAAGCAGGAAGTTCCTACCAATGACATCAACATGCTTGCTTGGTTGCCAACCCATCAGCATCTGAAGATCTGCCCTTTCAGTATATCTCTAGTAAAGCATAATACTTGTTTACTAAAGTAAGAATAATAGCAATTCCAGTGCATGCCCTAAGTTTATTGTGATGGTGAACAGGAGAACCGACGATAGGAATCTACTGTTTTGGCAGACATCCCTAGGCATATTTTGCCTGGCCATTAGCACAGCCCTATATGCTGGGGAATTAATTGACAGCTGAGAACCGGAGACATATCTTTTTTAGGTTTACAAAAAAATCTGTATACGTTTACCAGCAGTTCTGCTGATTTAACCTCTGACTATGATTTCATGCATAGGGGACTGAACATTTATGAGCATTTTTTGCTGTTTTTGTTGCTTTCTCATTCAGTTCACTCAACATACACAATAAAAAAAAAAAAAAAAGTAGTGCTTTGTTATAATATGTTAATTTATTTAACCCCTTAAAGACCAAGCTTCTGGAATAAAAGGGAATCATGACATGTCACACATGTCATGTGTCATTAAGGGGTTAAATATTCATAGGGATTTGGGAAAGAGCACAGGTAACTTTTTTCTTTGATTTTTATTGTATGTATTTGGGCTGATGTGTACTATGGCCGTTGCTGCCGCAGGACTTGTTTTTCTGTATTTGTATTCACTTTCATATCACACAGCTATGTTACAATGCTGCTGCCCATCCCATGTGCTCCCCATTAACGGTTAATAAGCATGTAGGAATGTATATAAAGAATACCCCTTTCTGTCTCATTAGAGATATCTTTGCCAGTAGCTCAATGAAGCAAGGTGAATGATTAGAGTTAGGACCCACCAAAGAGATCTGCCTTGACGTGGCAGGTGGGCATACCCTCTCATGGCCATTGAAGGTAACTAAAAACCTCCATTTGTTTAAATATACATAGGGATTTGGGAAAGAGCGCAGGTAACTTTTTTCTTTGGTTTTTACTTTGTTATAATGTGTAACATAAAATGGTAAGCGATTGGGGCGAATCTTTTTTTCTCACTGCTGCAGCAGTTCCTGAGAATTTGATTGACCTCCTACCACGAGTCATATCCAAAATGGTGGATGCACCGAAACAACCCCTGAACCAAATGAGTCTGGAGGTACGGAGATGGAGCCTTTGAGGCAACGTATGACAGGATATGCCAGGTGTTTTGGCAACACGTAAACAGCAGCCTGAAAGCTGCTCCCTTGCCCTTCAGGCTCACTGTTTCTCATCTGGGATGGGAGCCCACATGGAGCAATGCTTACAATGTCGTCCACGTGTCTGAGGGGCACCCCGACGCAAAATACTCAGTGAGCATGCAATCTCTCCAAGGGGAGAAAGAGGATCAAGGGATACCAGGCACCGGCTCCCAGGATGGCCTGTGCTGGAGGTGGAGAGTGGGTATGGAAGAAAGGACTGCACCTGTCACTGGTATTTGCATCTCAAGCTGAGGTACCTCTATATTATATGTGGATGGCAGGAGGAGAAGCACTGCCTGGTTCCAATATACCCTACCTTATCTGGCCCATTAGTGGTTAGGCTGATTGAAGCATGAGGGATCCTCCATTTACTCTGCGCCTGACTCTAACCGCTGCAGTGTTGTTGTTTCTTCTCGATATTCCCAAGATATTAGCTCCCAGTGCACCCACATCTTGTTAGATATTGACATTTTTATTTATTTGTCTACTTCTTCCTATTTAAATATCAGCATAGTTTAGCATGGTTACACTCCAAGTATTTACAAACTAACTACATGTCTAGCTTCTACAGCAGGTTTGCATAAACCAAATAAAATTGAACTACCACCCAGCTTGTTTATGATCAGCTTACTCCTCACTTCATAGTTAGACATGTCTTAATTATCTAATACTCATGTGTGTTATACTACTACTTTAAAAAAAAAAAATGTGTGACAATTCCCTATGGCATGACATTGTATGCTTTTGAAATGCTTCTTACTGCAATTGTGGCATTGCAATCATGATTGTTATCCCCTGCACAACAGAAATAAAGAATTATAAAAATTTTAAGAGATTTATAACTATATAATATATAATGTATAACATAAAATGGTAAGATATATATATATATACATATAGTATTGTTTGAAAAAAGGATGCACTCAAAAGGTCTTTAGACGCATAATGGTAATATTTAATCCATAAAGGGTTTACAGATTGCTTGATCGACATTTCGACCCAATAGGGTCTTCCTCAGGATTGCACCAGGGCACATATACTATTTTTTATAGGAGCAAGGGTGAGTGCCATTAACTGTGTTTTATATATACATATATATATATATATATATATATATATATATAGAAATAGGCAACATTATAATCAAAGGTGCACTCACGGGACTTCAAGTGCAAAAAATGTGGTTTAATGAAACATAATTACATCTGAGACAAAAATCTACGTCTCGACCCTGGCGAGTCTTTTCAAGATCTTCCAGATCTATTTCAGTAATAATATATTTGTAAACGTACCACAATGACTTTTACAGCTCCTGAATTACATATTGACAGTTTACTGAAAGTAAGCAGAAATTGTTAAAACAGGACCATGCTTCCTTAACCCCTTAAAACCTATATTTTGTACAATTGCAATAAATTGGTGACAGAAAATAGTACTCTTAGTTCATCTTCTCTTTCCCAATTAATGTTTGTGTCAGCGTGCAATATCAGATATAAGAAACAAAAAAGGGGAGGAAATACACTAAGTAATACTGTTCAAATCAAGTATAATTTATAAAATAATATATAAATATATTCTGTATTATCTGAGATAGGCTGGAGTTTTGCCCTATAAATTAGACTGCTGCCCCTTATGGGTCTTTGATTTAACAGGGTCTCCAGGTTTAAAATCCCATGTCAGGGTTTAGGGAGGTGGATGCCCCTAGAGAACAAACTGTGTATTACAGTAAAATTTAATATAAGATAATAGGCATTAGATCATTTTGACGCCTAGTGGTAGAAATATAAAACTGCAAGTTCTTTAAGGTGTGATATTTCCACCTTGTATATTGGGGAGGTTAGCAACCCTAGGGAACTAATTATGCCTTAACTCTATATATCTTTTTGAAAGGTGTGGGATTTTGAAAAACCTCTTCCCGTTTCTTGTCTTTTTTTCCACTCTCTAAGCTACCTGTGCTCCAAACACTTGTACCTAATACCTATGAACACTGCAATATTTTCATGTTTTCTATATTATTTTTATTTTTTTTATATAGCGACATATTGCTTTGTGATCATTGTGATCACTGCCCCATGTAGGTGGCTCAGAATTTAATCATTGATAGCGCTAAACTGCCATTCAAAAGGAGGTGTACATGGAGACACTTATGGAACGGCTATCATACAACACTGACCATATACACACATTTTTTGACACAAATTGATTTTGCATATAATAAATTCAATACTTATTTAGCATCATCACTAATCTGTATGCAATTCTAATACAAGACCCGAGATTTGAGTGATGATGACAACTTTATGAAAGTGGAGTTTGAGTAGAGATATCACCTAATCCAAGACCTAAACAAATACAAAAATCTACTTGAACTAAACCTTAATATTTACCATTTAACTTAGCCATTTAATGCTAAACTCTTACATGTGGTTTCCTAATGTTAGCGTAACATCTAAAATTAGTGGTTATTAATATTATACCTAAAAATACAAATACTTTAACCTAATGCTAATTTCAATCTCTTACATTTTGTTTCCTAAACCTAATCTCGAACCATATATTTGGCTTTCCAATACCAATAGTAAACTGTTCAACTGGTCAATATTTTTTTCTCTGTCTCTATCCGTAACCCTAATCTTAAGGTTAGAGTACAAGTCATCACACATATATGCATTGAGTAAATTATTCGCTAAACAAAAAACAAAAATAGATTTGAAGTTATTAACAAAATAAGTAAAAATATATGCTAAGACTGAAATGCCTAATAGTGGCAGTGATTATGTATTTACATCAGTTAACATTCCTCTTGGGGCAAGACTAATTATCAATTACAGATTATTAACTATAGTTAATGCATCACTATTTTTCTGTATGAAAATATATATTATTACATACAATTAAATGAAGTGGTACACTCAAATAAACATTATTTTAATTTAAAAAAGTCCCTTAATGAATTTAAGCTCTAATTTAGCATTAACTGTATGTTAACACCCAGTTTCTCTAGTTTGTGACTATACTCATAATGGAATAAGATTCCCACCTACATTTTATGTGATTCACTGTATTCCTAGATTCTTGGCAATGTATCTTGCTTGTTGGCTGACACTTTATAGTTTAACTTAGAAGGCCTTGAGAAGAATTTTAAGCATCTTCTTGGACACCATATAACACTGGTGCAACATGCTGTTATGGTAACAGAGCAAGCCACTTTACCCAGAATTAATATAGTTGAATCAAAACAATTAATTTTATTGCATAACTTTTTCTTTAATTTAGAAAAATGTGATATATTCTTATAATTTACACTATACTATACAAACATAACCTTCAATTAATGTCAGTGTTTTATATGGTTTTTATTCCCTTACGTGCAAACTTCAAAATATTATATTACAAATCATGTTCTATTAAAATTTAGACAAATGTGCACTTGTGCAAAAGTTACATTTCCTCAAATAAGAGAAATATACACACTCACATACCTCAGAGGAAAGGCTGCTGACACTCGAGTTTAATGGAAGTGCAGTAACCTATGCTATGTTGATATGGAAGAAAAAAAAGAGTGAATTCTTGAGTAGAGTTCTCACTCTACAATGTCTTGAGGATCAGTAAGTTGTTCATAAAGTGTTTACACTAGGACTCTGGAAATGAAGGGTAGAGACACACCCCACTCAAACATGGTTCATTTTTAAACCTACAGCGGCAATGTTTGCTTGGCTCATCCATCTTTTGATTAATTAAAAACCAACACGAAGTCGAATTCAAACAACTAGACCCCATTATTGAAATTGCAGGGTTTTCTGATAAAATAATGAAATTGAAAAAAATACCTAAGATATTTAACAGACATTCTAAACAATATTTAAATGGAACTTAAATGGCCAAAAATTTTAAAAAAATCACAAGTTTGGAATTTTTGTAATTTCTCATATTATCTGTTTTCTCATCATACATATTTATGCAATCCTCTACACCTTTATGAGCTTGTTTTGGGAAACTTGGGTGCACAGGGGCAGACTTTGGCAAAGATTTTTTTTTTAATCATTATTTGACAGTAAATCAATCTTATGCTAATGTTGTATGCTTTAGCATATATTACATTGTTTAAAAGAAATTAAGCAGAATAACACATTGCTTTTAATAACTAATAATTCTTCCAGGACAATAATATCTATATGGACAGTTCTGGAGAATATAAGTAGATTCACATTATGAAATATGTGAAGCAAATACATGACATCCAATGATACATGTCCAGTCAATAGCACCAAAAGATTAGTATCACTATGTGCTAAGGGTTTTACTTAGGCTTTAGTATAGACCTCTCTCTATTAATAGCGGGTATTGACCCTCTGGTAGGCACACAGATTTCTAGGTGTGCTGAGGTATAGGCAGGCTTCCTTTTGCTAGATAGTAGCACAATTTATCTCTCAGTAGCCTTTGACTTGTACCCTAAATTGAATTGGTGTGGGGTATGAAACCCATTCGTTTTTATACCTCACGTTGTTCCCTGTTATTATCTTTATTTTCTTAGTACCTAGTGCAATACAGTACTTTGTGTATCTTGACGTGTGGGGCATTGGACGAAGCCAGGGACTGTAAGAAGATTTTTTTCTTTACAGTGTTACAAAAATGTGGGTGGTGAGAGCACACTAATCAATGTAATAATTGCACTTACCCTTATTGCATGTGAAAATATTAAAACCACTCCTATAAATATAAAAACAGGGAGAATGGGAACATAGGGTAATAATGTAGCAGATGGATGTAACTTTAAATGATAATAAGGTGCAATAAGGGTAACGTGCAATTATTACATTGATTAGTGTGCTCTCACCACACACATTTTTGTAACACTGTATGGTTTGATTTTATGTGAATAAGAGACTCATATTGGTGATTGTAGCACCCTACTCTTAACCTTTAACCTTATTCTTCTTTTATTTTCACTATTGTTATTGTCAGATTTTTTTCCTATACTATACCTGCTATTACCTCATTGAGCTTACACCAACTATGGGATACTCATTTTTGTCTATATTTGTCTCTTCAACCCTTTCCTCTATAGTATACTGTACTCTGTATGCAATTCTTTATGCATGTCACTTATAATAATATATGCATTTTCTTAAAGAGTCCGATAGATACAAGTTCTGTCCACTTACTTAGGAGTGTCATATATCATTAGTATACTGTATACTTATATAATTTTACATTTGCAAGCACATTTTGTTTGGTCCAAGCATAATAAAGACCATCTTGATTTCATTATCTTTTGTGCCATTTGCCTGTCCAATATACCAATCACCATCTTATAGATCTTAACCTTAGTGACCTTCTGGTTGCTTTGGTTCTATAGGGTTTTTTTTTTTATTATTCATATATTTATCTTCCTCTTTGGTGGGGATGTCCCAAGGTGAAACCCTTCTGGTGGGAGATGGTAGACCTACTGGCGGATGTCTTCAATAGGCCATTTGACTTAGATCCCTTGGCTTGCCTATTTTTCACCCAGTAGAGAGTCTTATGGCACCGCTCTCAAAAACATTTTAATAAAATAACACTTGCTGCCTGTAGGGCACTGGCTGTGGTTTGACTCTGGAAAGCTGATGAAAGTGTTATGACCACTGAGGCAAGAGGTTGCATCTAAAAGAGAGGATAATTATTATCCTCTTTCACAAACTATCAATAACAACTAACAACGATTGGCTCAACTATGTGGCCAAGTGATTTACTAATTAAGGCAAGAGATTTATAATATATGCTTTACATTTAAATCAGCTTTTTTTCTATAGATATCTCAACATGTTTCTCATTTTCCTCTCCTCATCCTTTCCTTACTACTTTTTTAATGATTTTTTTCTCTAATTTATATGCGTTTCAAAAATTTCAAGTTTAAAAATTGAGACACTGTATTTTATGAAAATGACACCAGCTCCCATTGTCATTTATGACATTTTAATTGCTTGGATTAAGATCACTGTTTACATGGTTCGCCTCAGAAAAATAAAGAATAAAATATAACATTGGGCGCAAGTTGTTCAACGTGCTGCCTCCTGCTCCATTGAAACTGGCACTGATACAATAAGCCAGAGGTTAACCCTTTAATGGAAAGACAGGACAGGAGAGTAGATATTTGCTTGTCAAACTGTCAGTGACCACAGAAGGGATAAGGTCACAAGACAGGATATACTTAATTTTAGTTTTTTTTCAAATATTTAGTTTAAATTTAAATAGCTTAACCCCTTAAGGACCAAACTTCTGGAATAAAAGGGAATCATGACATGTCACACATGTCATGTGTCCTTAAGGAGTTAAATAGAGAAGTTAAATAGTAAGAAGAAGCTAACCATCTTTTTCTAATTGCATGCTGGGGTCTTACAAATACCAACGTATATTGACAAAAGCAAAATAGAAAAGTTATATATGCACTATTCCAAATACCTATACACATTTAAATAAAAGAGCATGATTTAGGTAAATTACTGAACAAAGCTACCTGTATTTATATAATTTTCTTTGCATTTTTTTTTTTTATTTATTGCGGAAGGTGCACATCATAATACATTGCAGGAAGTATGCATAAAATATATCTAAGTTTCCAGACATCAGATTAAGCATATGCAAGTTATACCTTTTATATAGTGTATGGAAACAACTGTCTGTTATATTAGCCCCACCCACCTTGAGAGTAGCCTAGTGCCATGAAGGCACAAAAATAGTGGGAACTAAAAAAACCAAAGTAACCAAATTCGAGGGTGAGTAACTCAAGAGGTAGTTAACTTCTGGCTTGGTGCTACTAACTATGGGGCAGCAGGAGGATGGGGTGAACCATCCCTGCAGGTGGTTCAGAGGGCAGGTGTAGTCCAAAAGCAGCAGAGAAGTGAGATACTTACTCCGACAAAGAATGTTTATGAAGGAGACCATTGTGGACTTAGCAATTCAATAAACCCTGTGCAATACAATAGCTTTGGCCTACTTGGGGGACTGAAAAAAAGAGGTAGCTTTTCAGCAGACACTGTCCTCTACACCATAAACCTTTATGTTCTTTCTTCTGCTCCACTTGTTCTGCATGTCCATTCATAAGACAAGAGCTGACTGGGAATCAGTCATAATCTCCATAGTTTGTCTCAAGTCAGTGGCTGTTTTTTGGAGAGTTTTCAAGGTGGAGGAGCAGTTGTGAGATGGTGCGTCAGCCACCAAGGATGTAGGCTGCGACTGTTTGGTCTCAGCAAAGGCGGTCAACTGATGTAAATTGGGTAGCTCTCCCAGAGGTGAGTAAAATAGAGTCCAACCCCAGACTAAATTCGATAAATCATCGATTATCTTGGAGACCCAAGATATGGTGTCTGCCTTGCTTCATTGGAACGCTCTGTATTTTATATTTTTAATTGCTTGTATTTCAAAACATTATAAATGGGTTATTTATAGTGCTTTATAATGGTGATTAGAACTGGCTCTATACAGTGTGAGTTAGCATCTGGCGAACACAAATATTATTTATTTTAATCACAGATAACACTTTTTTTTTTGTAATACCTATCAATGAGAAAACTACACATTTGTGCAATAATAGCAACTTTTATAAGTTTATTTTTGTTTAACCTTGATTTTATTTATGGTTACATATTATGTGTATATTTTGCACAAAGTATTTTTAGTGTATAGTGCAAAGATTGATACCTGGGTGGCAATATTGTAAAGAAATATGTTGTATAGACACGGCACGTTTTGTACTAAGTTTGCTTATATATGAAATCTCATAGTTTTGCAGAACTTTCAGGCACTGAGATTCAGTAATACACTTACGTCTTCATGACAAGTATCGTTACACCAGTGAACAAAAAACAAAATGTTTTTCTAATATGCATTAAAAAATCATACATAGAATCAATGCTATGTATTAATGTCACTTTAAGCAGTGAAATATTCTTTAAAAGCATTTTAACTTCATGGAAAATTTCAAATACTTCATCTCTTTGGGAACACCTGCTTAATCTTTTGTATTTGTTCTACTTCTGACGTCTCTTTGCACAAATAACAAGGTCCTTAGAGTTTCCAGTGGAAATCCTTCTTTGCATATGGCCAGCCAACCATACTGGAGTTGCAATAATCCAGCATGGAAGGGCAATTTCAAAGCTCATTAGCTTGTTTGTTGTTCTATTTCTCATGTGGCAGTCTTCTTCAAAACTGAAAAACAGTTCATGTTGGTTTTTGTACCTTAAATTATTCTTGTAATGAAAATGATCCATCATTATGTATATAGTAACTTTTACAAAGCATAATTTTTTTCAAAATTTTCTTTTACATCAACATTTATATTTAAAAAAAAAGTATATATGTATTATACAAAATTACGTTTTAATCCGTTTCACCCACTAAGGAAAGTGTATAATTATGGAATAATACGTTATTTGCTTTTGACAGAAGTATCATTAATACGCAATGTTTATACTACATATAGTGATGTCCCGAACGGTTGGCCGAACGGTTCGCCACGGACAGCGAATATATGCGCTGTTCGGTCCGCCCCCTATGTCATCATTGAGTAAACTTTGACCCTGTACCTCACAGTCAGCAGACACATT